AAAATTATTGTTCTTATTATTATTATTATTCCTATTATTATTATTATTTCTATTATTATTTCTATTATTATTATCAGTAGTAGTAGTAGTATTTTTATTATTGTTGTCGTCCGTTTTGTAGTAATATTATTAACGCTGAAAGCCAAAACACTAAAAAACGCATTTTATAACATACAAAAAACATACATACTTAAAAACACACGTGCATACACACACATATACACACACATACACACGCATACAAACACATACACACACATACAAACACATACACAGAAAAACATGAAACATACGTCCCAAACATAACATTCAGACAATTCGTAACCAAAGACGACGAGACGAATAAAGCATAAAATTATGAATTATACATACATGTATGTTTATGTGTATGTTTGTATGTGTGTATGTATGTGTGCATGGATGTATGTATGTATGTATGTATGTATGTATGTATGTATGTATGTATGTATGTATGTAGGTAGGTAGGTAGGTAGGTAATTATGTGTGTATGTATGTATGTATGATCGATTGAATTTTTATTAAGGGTTTAGACGCCTTCTTGTTGAATGACTGAGTGAAAAAATGAATGAATAAATGATTGATTGAATGAATGATTGAATGGACAAATGAATAAATAAATGGAATGATTGAAGGAATGTAAAAACAAAATGAATGATTGAATGAATCAAAGTGGATAAAAGTTATTGATTTAAACAATAAAAGAATAAACAAACAAATTGCAGTGATGAATGAGTGTAAGTGAGACAATGAAAAAAAGAAAGAAAGGAGAGAGAGAAAGAGAGAAAAACGGAGAGAGAGAGGGAAAATGATAAATGAATGAATTAATAAATGAATGAATAAAAAATTTTATTACCGTGACAGGGGCAAAAATATGGTAGGGGTAATGATGGTAACGATCGTAATAATAATAATAAACAACAATAATAACAATAACAATAATAATAATAATAGTAATAATAATAATAAACAATAAAAATAATAACAATAAAGATGATGATGATGATTAGGATCATAAAGATAATTACGACGATAACATAAAAATGATATACTGATAGCAATATTAAGAGGGGAAGAGAGATAGATTGAGAGAGATAGAGAGAAATAAAGAGAAAGAGTAAATGAAAACAAATAAAATAAACAAATAAAAATAATGAAAAAAATGAATGCAAAATTGAGGGAGAGGGAAAGGAAAAAAACGAGAGAGAGAGAGAGAGAGAGAGACGAAAAGATAATTTTAAACTGTCTGAGAGATTGAAAGAAAAATATGAATGAATGAACGAAAACTAACCTACATACAAATAAGCATACCAATGAGTAAATGAAGGAAAATGAAAGAAAGGCAGAGAAACACACACACACAGAGTAAGAGAGAGAGAAAGAAAGAGAGAGAAAGAGAGAGAAAGAGAGAGAAAGAGAGAGAGAGAGAAAAAGACAAAGACAAAAATGAAATGGAAATAAGGAACAAAAGATTCTTATTTTATTTTTCTATGTCAACACAAACCATTAAAACGTTAATAAATTCCGCCAATAACAATAAAACCATACGCCGGCTGCTGGTCATTAGAGAGAGAGAAAGTGAGAGAAAAAAAGGAAGAGAGAGAGAAAGAGAGAAAAAGAGAGAAAAGAAAGGCAGAAAAAAGAAGGAAAGATGAAATAAAAGATAAAGAGAGAGAGAGAGAGAGAGAGAGAGAGAGATGAAAAATAAATATATATTATTATATATATTAAAAGAATAAAATTGAGAAAATAATATGGAAAAAGTTGTGAATGAATGTGATATATATATATATATATACATACATATATATATATATATACATATATATGTAGTATGTGTGGTTTGTTTAGTGCTATATATAGATCTTCAATTTTCGAAAAAGAAACTCCGTATCTCCAGTGTCATATTGAATCTTTATTATAAATATTTATTTCGTGAATAATAATAATAATAATGGATAATTAGTCTTGTTGTTATTAATAACATGCCTGGTAAAGTTATGGCTCCATTTAAAAAAATCGTCAAATTATTATTAATGATAACAATGTGCTTGTTTGTAACAAGTTAGTAGCGTTACTATTATTGTTATTATGTTATTATTATTCTCATTATTATTGTTGTTGTTGTTGTTGTTGTTGTAACTTTATTAATATTAATATTATGATTTTCAATTTACAATAGTAACCGAATTCAAGTTTTAAGCGTTTTTATGATGCTGTTTAAATCTTTAAAAGTATCGAGATAAAATTTATTATAAAAAAGAGAAAGAGAGAGAGAGAGAGAAAGAAAGAATGAAAGAAAGAACTAAAAATAACTCTTAGGACGATTCATCGTCGTCGTCGTCATCATCATCATCATCGTCCTCGTCTTCGTCGTCGTCATAGGTGATACAGGTGAAGATGATACTCGCGAATATCATGGTAACAAGACAAGAGAACAGTATGCCCCAGCTGGTTGCGAAGAAGTTCTCCATTTTGAAATTGTAGAAGAATTCTTGTAGCTTTTCCAACGTAAAACCCGTGCGAAATTCTTTGGTGAAGACATCGAAAACGTACTTTATGTTTTGGTAGAGGCTGTTGTAATCGTAATCTTGATCAGAGGAGTTGTTGTTGTCGTTGCTGCTGCTGCTGATGTTGGTGGATGTGTTGTTTTTGATGTTGTCGTTGTTGTCGTTGTTGTTGTTGTTGATGTTGTTGTTGATGTTGTTGATGTTGATGATGTTGATGTTGTTGTTGTTGTTGTTGTTGTTGTTGATGTTGTTTTTAGCGCTCCGCGTCTTGTCGTCGTAATTTACTTCGGGATTGTTGTTGTTGATGCTGCTCTCTGTGGCGTGAGTTTTGTTGAAAATGTTGTTGTTGATGTTGTTGTTGATGTTGTTTTTGTTGTTGTTGTCGATGCTGATGTTCCTGATTTCGTTATTGTCGGTCGTATTAGTTGCGTTTGAGTCTCTGTAGAAATCCTCCCTAGAATTGCTTTAGCAAAAGGAAAGTTTTTTTGGGATGAATGCACGAATGAATGAATGAATTAATAAGTGAATATAGTAAGAGGTGAATGAATGCATGGAAAAATGAATGATTAAGTGATTGAACGATCGAAGGACGAATGTATTTAATGAAAAGTTATATTGTAACACAATCAACTAACTTATTTTCTGTCATTATAGTTACTCTAGTATTAATAATATTAATAATAGTAGTTGTTGAAGCTGTAGTAGCAGCAGTAGTAGTAGTAGCAGCAGCAGCAGTAGTAGTAGTAGCAGTAGTAGTAGCAGCAGCAGCAGTAGTAGTAGTAGTAGTAGTAGTAGCAGTAGTAGTAATAGGCAAATGAAAAGTGTCTAAAAAAGGCATTAGTTGAAGTAACACTATTACCGACAGCGTTAATTTTGAATGTAACATATTATTTTTAAATTTGTTATTATTATTAATAATAATAATAATAATAATATAAATTTTGTTTGTAGTAGTAGTAGTAGTAATGGTGGTGTTGTTATCATTGCTTATTTTTAATTAATACTAATTTGTTTATCTTTAATATGTATATATATATATATATATATATATATATATATATATATAGACTTCATATTATAATTATAATTATTATTCACAATTATTATTATTATTGTTGTTGTCGTTATTAGTTATTAATAATATTATTAGTTATTGTTGTTATTTTTATTATTAATTATTAAACTCGAGTGTTTGTTGTAGAGCTAATTTGTTTTTATTTACCCTTAGAATGACGCTAGCCGTATAAACAAAGAAACAACAATAATAATAACAACAACAACAACAACAACAACAATAATAATAACAATATTATTATTATTATTATTGCTACTATTGCATTATCACTCTCCAGATTTACCTCGCGTTTGAAGCCGTGTTTAGTTAGTTATATAACTGAAACTGCCTGCTTTTCATATACATATGCAGTGTATTCAGATTTTGGTGATGATAATTTTGTCTTTAGCGCCAGTTCAGCCATCGGGAAGCTGTTGTTGATATCAAAATTATCATTCTTTTTATCATCATTATCATTACATAATTATCTTCGTCATAGAAACATCGTTCTTTCTCTCTCTCTTTCTCTTTCTCCTTCATTCTTTCATCTTTATGCAAATGTTCAAGCGGAGAGATGTAGCAATCATTATTATACATACTTTTTCTTTCTTCCTCTCTTTCTTTCTCTCTCTCTCTTTTTCTTTCTTTCTCACCCACTCTCTCTTTCTTTCACTCTTCTTTACATAATATTCGTTGCAGATGTAAGATCAGCTAGACTAACGAACAAATTCTACAACAACAACGACAACAACACACCTTCAACCAACAAACAGGCGTTCGACGACATTGAAGTTGTTGATCATTCCATCCTTAAAACAACAATCGCTACGACTAACAACAACAACCACAACAACAACGGCCTCAACAACAACAACAACAACATAAAATACATGTCACAACCGAACGGAACATTGTACGTGTTAAAAAACTCTCCCGCCAAATTGTCTTGCTCAGTTTTCGCGCCATTGGAGGTTATTTTAAAATTTAAATGTGTCGGCCAGTGGGTTGAGGAAGAAAATGTTCAGAAACAAGTCATTTCCGTTTCCGGTTTCGAAAAGCAAAATGGCGGGAGCGATGGTGCCACTGATCATGATGATGATGATGATGATGATAGTGATAAAAATAAAAACAACAACAACAACAACAACAAAATAACGTTAATAACAACACAAATAACAAAAGCAGACGTCGAAGAATTTGTTGGCAACAATGGCTATTGGTGCGAATGCCATATATTCCCAGACAATAATAATAACAACAATAACAATAATAATAATAAAGACAATAATAATATTATTATTATTAATCATAATAATTATAGTAGTAGCAAAAGTAGTAAAAATGTTAATAATAGCGGCATTGGTAGTAGTAGTAGTAGCAGCAGCAGCAGTAGTAGTAGTAGTAGCAGCAGCAGCAGTAGTAGTAGTAGTAGCAGCAGCAGCAGTAGTAGTAGTAGTAGTGAGAAAAGTTATAAATGGACGAAAAATGTGACAAGAGTTATTATAAAATCTGCATGTAAGTAATTATGATGATGATGGTGGCGGTGATGGTGATGATGATTATTATGAAATAATATTAATAATAATAATAATAGATAATAATAATAATATTTTTTTAGTTCTTTTTGTCTGCTCGAGATAAGCCGAAAACACGTTTGTGTCAAAGACGACAATTAGTCATACATACGTAGATACATATACATACATACATACACACACACACTCATACACGCACACACACACACACGCACACACACACACACATACCTACATAAATACACATATACATACAAGCTAAGACAAACGAACGTTGTTTAATGATTATCGCAAATTGCCTTTAAATGTATATACACACTTTAAAATAATTTCTGAGGTCTGTATTATTGTAAGTTAGTTTGTATAAATGTATGTATGTATGTATGTATGTCTGTATGTATGTATGTATGTATGCATGTATGTATGTATGCATGTATGTATGTATGTGTGTGTATGTATGTTTGTTTGTGTGTATGTATGCATCTATTTTTTATGTTTGTATGTATACATGTGTACAAACATTTTATGTGCATGTAATAGCATAGTTTATAAGGTATGAAGTTGCGGGAAGACATGGGCGTCAACCAATTTCCTCATTTTTCTGTCTGGGCGGTCAGACGAGCTATAAAATTCTTTTTTATATTTCAGTCATGATGGGGATGACGATGACGACGATGATAATGATGTCAGAAATGATGATGATGAGGACAACGATGTAGCATAATTTTCTACTGTCACCCACACACATTAGATATACGAAAGCAGTTCGAAAGCGAGCCAATCAGCACCTCCGCCCCACTAGAGGGTACCGTCCAACTCCAATGTCTGGCACCCCTGGCTGACCCTACACCAACGGTCATTATTTGTTGTTATTATTATTGCTATAATTATTATTATTATTATGCTATAGTTATTATTATTATTATGGCTATTATTATTATTATTAATTATATTGTAATTATTATTATACTATATTTTTGTCATCCCACTTTTAGATATCTTGGCTAAAAGACAGTAGCCTTATAAGTCCACAGAGTGATTTCAATTTCATAATTTCAAACGAGGGTCATCTGATCATCAGCCAAGCCCGACTGGCTGACTCAGCTAATTATAGCTGTGTGGCTCAGAATTTAGCTGGCCGGAGAGTTAGCGATTCAGCTACGCTAGTCGTCTATGGTTAGTAGCTGGTTTGGGGAGTTGTCCAGTTGGCTTGGCTCAGAGACGAATTGTTTGAGTTGTTCATAAAATAAAAAAAAAACATTGAAATAATAAAAAAATCACGATAATGAAATAATTGTCAGCGATTGAAATCTTTCCTATGCAACACTTTACCAATAGTTTTATTGCAAAGGTCAGAGTTCAAATCATTTCCCGCTTTTTTTGCCCTGTCGATATATTGACTATATGCCAAATTAGTTATTGAACGTCTGCCTTCGTTTGTTAGAGTGATGGTGTTGACGATGACGAAGATGTGATGATGATGATGACGACAACGATGTGATGATGATGATGATGACGATGATGATGAAGATGACGATGATGATGATGAAAATGATGATGATGAATATAGTATCAAGATGATGATGATGATAATGATACCGGTTATGATACTAATGACGTCAGCCTAAGTACTTCCCTTATTAGTAAACAATCATTGATGTTTATACATATGTACGCCCACACACACACATACACACACACACACACACAACTCACACACGCGGATTTGTACACACACACAGACACATACAAAAACATACACACACGGATTTGTACACGCATACAGACACATACACACACGCACACACTTTCAAAAATCGTATATAAGTGAGATAAGGATGATAAAGAGAGAGAGGTTACGAAATTGTTGTCAGATTCAATTGCAGATCACAGTTGATGGCGTATGAATGGAAGATGCTGATTGGAGGAGAGAGAGAGAGAGAGAGAGAGAGAGAGAGAGAGAATAATAAAGTAAGAAATAGAAAGAAAGAAAAAGAGAAAGATAGATAGAGAGAGAGAGAAAAAGAAAAATTAAAAATATTAGAAAATGAATGAATGAATGAATGAATGAATGAATGAATGAATGAATGAATGAATGAATGAATGAATGAATGAATGAATGAATAAAAACGCAAAAATGAAAAAGAATATGAATGTTTTTTGCGATAACGGTGCATAAAAATGAACGAAAACTCAATTACAATTGATAGACGGATTGACGGACGGATGGATGGATGAATGAATGAATGAATGAATGAATGAATGAATGAATGAATGAATGAATGAATGAATGAATGAATGAATGAAGGAATGAATGAAGGAAGAAATGATTTGATGAATGAATGGATAAATAAATAGATGAATGAATGAATAATCAAACAAATAAATGAACAAATAGATAAACAAATAATTTTTTTTGAAAAATGAAAGATGAATTGAAAAAAGAAGTTCTGTGTGTTTATTTTAGAATAAAAAATTGCAAAAAAATGATGGATGGATTGACGGATGGGCTGTTAGAAATGAATGGATGGATAGATGGGTAGATTGTTTTTGATATTATCCCGTTATATCATCATTTCCACAAATCATTTTCGTTCCAAGAATTGTTTATTTTTCAAAATTCTGTCCGAAAATGTATTGTTTCTCAAGAATATGTGTCTTTATTTAAAGCCATAAACAACACCTTCACTCTGATAAATTAAATTTCAAATCCTCCTAACCAAGTATTTAATAAGTAATCAAATCAACCAATAACAATTTTTCATCCATCACATCACCCAATCAAAATTAGCCATTCAAAACCGACTAATCAAAGCCCTCAATCTAAACTATCCAATCACAATCAACCAACCAAAATCAATATTTCAAACTTACCCAACGAATCACAGTCGACGGCGGATGGACCGAGTGGTCTGATTGGTCAAAATGTTCAGTCACGTGTGCGAAGGGCGTACAACAAAAGCGTACACGAACGTGTACAAGCCCCAAGCCCCAAAATGGCGGCAATGATTGTGAGGGCGAGCGTGTACAAACAAATGCCTGCAACAGCGCTGATGACGT